AGGGGCAGATACATACAATTTAGATTTTACATCACAAATTTAGTATAATTTTTTGGATTTAGACTTTATTTGGCATCTCTTAAATAAGTAAACTTATTTAGATTATATTACTTTATTTATTTTTTTACATATATTTTTATAAAAAATTAAAAAATATATTTATTTAAATCATCTCAATTGTCAGTATAATTTACCCTTTTTTTCAGGTGTATATACGTACATACAGCTTTCAGTGCATACCCTCTGCAATTAATATTAGACGTGGCCCCCTCACTTTCTGATAATTTCCCATTTCAATTCGACTGTACAAAAGACATTCACCGATTGATAGTACTACCTTCTTTTTAGATAATGTTATGGAAAAATTATTGGTTGATTAAGGGATGCTACGTGATTATGTCTCTTATCAATTATAATTTATTATATTTTTTTCATATATATATTTTTTTATATTCTCTAATCACTTAACACAAATTTATGAATCTATAAATTCAAAAAAAAATTATTAATTTTCAATTTGTAATGACATATAAAAAATCTTTATAAAAAATTATTTTTAATGACGATTTTACTATAACTTATTTTCAATAAGACTCAATAGGAAGTTCAACTATTAAGACTTATTGATAATTTATCTCTAAATTATCCTGTCAGCATGATTTCAGATTTATTCAAGGGTGTCAATGTAATTTATCCTTTTTCATATACGGTCTATTTTGAGAAGTAGATTAAAAGTTGATTTTTAATTTTTATTTTTTTCAAAACATGCCAAAAAATAAAACAGTTAATGTGATCTAAAAAAGTCAAAAAATTAAAAAAATTAACGCTTAATCAACTTTCCAAAATGGGCTACATGCATGTAATTTTCCATTGGATACCTATGGCAATTAATATTAGAAAAATGTTATGGATATCAAATAATCTATCAATTTTTTTTATCAAATTTCTCACATGAATGTGGGATCCACATAAACTGACATGGGTGTGTGTCCCATATCCAGATGAGAGATTTGATAAAAAAATTTAAAAAATTACTTGGTATTATTAACATAACTTTTAATGTTAAGGGGTGATTTCGAAAGTTGGTTAAAAGTTGACTATTTAATTTTTTTTTATCCTTTTGTGTGTAAAAAATATGAGCGGTGATATGATTTAAAATGAATTAAAAAATAAAAATTAACTTTTAAGTGACTTCCCAAATTGCCCCCATTAGACGTGGCCCCCTCACTTTCTCATAATTTTCCATTTCAATTCAACTATGCAAAAGACATTAATTGAATGATTGATAGTGTTATCTTCTTTTTTGGTAATGTTATCGTTATACCATATTTCTCACCAATAACAATTATTATATTTTTCATATTCATCAATCCTTTAACATAAATTTGTAAACCTTATAAATTCCAAAAAAAAAAAAAGTCATTAATTATCAATTTTTTGACATATATAAAAAAAATCGTTACAAAAAATTATTTTTAATAACGATTTTATTAAAATATATTTTCAACAAAATTTTATAAAAATTAAGTTTAACTATTATGACTTATTAATAGTTTATCCCTCAATTATCCTTTGAGTGTGATTTCAGATTTATTAAGCGGTGTTAGTATAATTTCTCCTTTTCAAGGGTATATATGTACATACGAGTTGAGGGTTGTTGCTGTGTCTTATGAATACTCTTTGGAAATTAATAAACGTGGCCGCTCACTTTCTGATGATTTTCCTATTTCAATTCAACTGTGCAAAAGACATTAACGGGTGTTTTGGGAACATTAGCTTTTTGGCTTTTTTTAATTTTTTTATTTTTTTTGAGTCACATTTATCTCTTTACTTTTTTACATAAAAAAATTAAAAAAGTCAAAAAAAAAATTAAAAAAATTCAATTTTTTTACCATTTTCTCAAAATACCACTGGTTGATTAATAATACTCTCTTTTTTTAGTAATGTTTTGAAAAACAATATTTATTAATTCAAAGACATTATGTGACTCTATATTTCACTAATCATAATTTTTTATATTTTTAATCAATCAATATAAATTTATAAACTATTTTTACCCATCACAACATTATTGGACATCACATGAGGGTGACCCAATAATGTCCTGGTAATGTGCTACGGAGAAATTATTGATTGTCCGAGGGCACCACGTCACATATGACAGGGGTGTCCCAAACCAATTAAAAAGTGTCTCACCACAGCCACTCCATTCACAAACGTTTCACTAGTTCAAATAATGATATATAACTATAATATTATTAACTTTAAATAAAGTTTTAATAAAGTAAGAGAGAGAAAATAAAAAGAGATAATGAGAGGAGTATGACCCACCTTCATATCGATCTTTTCTACGAGGGATATTAACAATCTTATTAACACACTCACAAGTTGATGTGAGTTCCATATTAAGTGATGGTTGATCTTATCAAAATTTGTGAATGTGTTAATAAAATTGTTAATAAATGTGTAAGTATTCCTAACATTGTTGGTTAACACTTATTTTTAATTCCCTCTCATTTTGAATTTTTTGTATTGGAGAATTTTAGTATAAATATTTTATACGTTATGTAACTTTAGTTATGTTATTTTTTTAATTATAATTAAATTTTTTCTTTAGTTGTCATTTGATAGGTGAGTTAAGTTTAGGTTGGGATAAAAAAGCACAAAAAGATAAAATAGACTAAATAATTTAATGGCCTATTTTGGCATCTCGGTCAAAATCAATTTTTTGAATTTTTTAGGTCATATCACCTCCCTATTTTTTTGTACTTTTTTTTTTGAATTCAAAAAAACCTAAAAAATTAACTTTTAGCCTGTTTCTCAAAATATGCCAAAATATCACATTCAAACTATAATCATCTCACCTTTTCTCCCATAAAAAAATAAAAATGTCAAAAAAAATTCTAAATAAAACTAATTTAGCGAGACTAAAATTAGCTAAAAAGTCAAAAATTTAGATTAAAAAAGTTCTTCCCAAATGAATCCTTAGTTATGACATTATTTTTAAATTTTTTATTATGATTTGTTGTATTTGGTTATAACCTTTTTTTTTAATTATTTTAATGATAACTCAAAAAATATAAAATTATGTTATTTTAATATAAAACCAACCCAAACCACAAGACCCAAAAACCAAAATTACCAACAGAATCAGAGATATAAGGGTCACGTGCCCCTGGATTTATATTTCTTTTCTTGTATATATATATATATATATATATATAAATAAAATTTAAAACAAAATTTCTAGGGCATTTTTAAATTTATGAAAACAATAATGATTGTTTTATTGAAAATGAAGTGACTACAATAAATTACATTTTTATATATAAAAATTTTGTAAAAAAATCTCAATATAAAGGTAATATTCATCATTATTGATATGCAAATATAATTAATCTCACTGTATATATGTAAAAATTAGTAGAGTGTTAGTTATATTTACATGTAAAGTTCACCCTTAATATGTTGTTTTAGTATTGGTTGGTGATATCATATGTTAATAATGACGTGATATTACTATTATATGAAATTTTTACTCAAATTTTGTAAAAGTTTGATTTATCTTACAATTATATATATTTTTTTACGACTTAAATATATAATTTTTTTACATTGTTCATGATACAATAGTTACACTCAATATTTTTTTTTCAATTTTACTTGAAGTTAATTGTAAAATTTTATGTGAAATATTTTTGTAATAATTTATTTAAGTTTCTGTATTTAATATTAATTCAAAAATTATTATTATCTTTTTATTGATTATCAAAAAAAAAATTATAATTATAATTAATAAGTGTCCCTTCTAATTTAATTATTTGGCACTGCCCACTAGATATAATTATTGTTGGTGTCTGGTCAGAATCTATGGTCCCATGGCTATGACAGATGAGAGAACTTTGCCGTACAATCTTGGAATCAAAAGTTGCTCCATGATCGACCTCAATATCCAAAACAACGATTGTGGTTGCTCGAGGTTGAAGGCCAACTAGACGATGTGATGTTGCTGCAGTAGCTGCAGCACAAGCATTACGGATGATAATCTTGGTTTTTTTTTTTTTAAAAAAAAATATTTAATTGATGATTTAATTGAAAATTAATGAATGGACGTTCACCAAATTGAAATCATAATTTTGGACTTTCACAAGATCAATTTGATTGTTCATTGCATAGTTGAATGAAAATTTTGTTGCTTTTTTAGTTGAATATTTGCTTGAACAAATTTTAGTTTCAAAAAAAGAAAAAGAAACCTTTAAAACTGTTATATATTTATAGACAATAAACCAAATAATTTCTTGTTTTACTTAAAAGCCTCAGAATTTTCATGAAAAAACTAAAAAGCAATTTTTAAGGTGAGTTTTTTTTTTTAAGATTAGTGTTAGGTATAATTTCAATGAAACTTTCTGTATTTTTTTATTTTATTTTTTATTTTTACGGAGAAAAAGAAAAAATGTTCTCTACTTCAAGCTTGAAATGGTTGTTCTCCATTGTCATATATATTCATAACAAAACTACAAATAATTAAATCAAAAATCTGTTATCACTCATAAATTATTTGATGGGACAACTAAGTAAATTATTGAGTGTCAATTTTCTAATCAATAAGGCACAAGTCCATAATAGAATGGAATGAATCACTGTAGTCTTTTATTAATTTTTTTGTTAGCATATAATACTTATAAACTGAAAGTTTCCATTTCATCATGATGTAAAAGATCCCCATCAAGTAATAATTATTCAAAATAAAAAAAATGTTAAATAAGTTTGAAAGTTTGTTATGAGTTAATAATTATACAGACCATTTTGAATTTTTATGATGAATTAAAATCTCAAAAAAAAATGAAAATTTTTATTTCATGATCAAAATCCTGCCACTGTAATCCAACAAAATGAAGAAACGATTGAATATAATTTTTCCTCACAAAAAAAAAAAAAACTATACATATAATTTAATGAATTGAACACAAAGATCCTACATAAAAAATGATACTCGCAATAAATACAACATGTAAAACAAAGAGAAGCAAATTCCCAGAAACAAAACCAGCACAAAGGACAAACAAAGTGGTTTACAATACTCCTTTCATCATCCATAATGATCAATGTCAACAACGCACATAACATGTTTAAAAGGAAGGTAGCTCGCATTATTGCATTTTCTGCCTTTTTTTACCTTGATTCTGGTAACAAATATTAGTATTTGGTTTGAAATCTAAGTTTTATGATACACTGCAAGCGCTTGTAAAAATGTCTGATTGAATATAGTTAGTCGGTGTGAAATTTGGATTGTATGATGTACTTAGTATTTGGTTTGAAATCTGAGACACTACAAATGCTTGTGAAGATCTTTGATTGAATATAGTTGTTTCACTTTGGTTAACAAATTCCACTCCCCCCCCCCCCCCCCCCCCCCCCTTTCTCTCTTTGTTGCTGTGGTCAGGTCACTATTGGCTGTTGCAGTGCAAGAGAAAGCAGTGTGAGGAATGTAATGTTGGTCAGGAATGTTGGTTCTTCTGACATTTTGGAAGTAAGAGAGGGAGTGGCAAAGAGAAGAAGATTTTCGCAAGGCCGGAAAGGGTGAAAATTCTTTCCCAAATGGGTATCCGATTGATGGTGGTGACCATGGCAGTGGTGAACCATGTACGATTGTTTAGTTTTTTTTTTTTACTTAATTATTTTTTCTTAATACAAGATAAATAACAGAAAGATCATACTTAATTTTTGTCGTGTGAATTTTAATGAGGATAATTGAAAATATTGAACTTGCTCAGAAATGTGGAATTACTCTGGCTTAGAAGTTTACTGTTTTGATTTGCTTCTAAGGTGAACAAACAATATTGAATTTAAAAAGCTACTAGATTGAAAGAGTCAATGCGTCTGGCTTAGGATCGATTTGAGGGAGTATTTGCATTCCATAAAGTTTTTAATTTCAATTGTAATTGATTTAGGTTGGGTTAGCTTACTGTAACTTTTTGTAAGTTGAAATTTGATGATCAAAAAGTAAAAGTTACAAATATTCTTTTCTTAACTTTAAAATAATTAATTTTTTTCAACTTAAGTTATTTTTGTTCTAATATGTTGTAGGTAAAAGAATATACTAAATAATCAACACGGATCAGATTCCTTTTTCCTTTTCTTTTTTACTATAATGGTTTTAATTTTTTTCGTGAAAAAAAATTTGAAAATGATATTACTTGAGGTATTATTCAATAATTTCATTGCCAATGCTTTGAATTATTTGATTTGTTTGAATTTTATGATTTTGTTGTGAACATTGATGTATTAGATATATTTGTGTGAGTGAATGCTTTGTATCATTCCCGCATTTGATTATTTTTGAACATTGGTCATGGCATGTTTTGGAACTTCAGTTTCTATTCTAATTTGTGAAATATGAATTTTTTTGGGGTGTTTTGAGAAGTTGATAAAAAATTGATTTTTAATTTTTTACCAAGCTTTTTAATTTTTTAAAAAGTAATTTGGAAAGTTGGTAAAAGCCTAGCTCTTGACTTTTTAATATTTGTTTATAGTGTCAAATCAAATTAAAATGACCAAAATATCTTTACCCAATATAAGAAATTTTTTTTTTATTTTTTTTTTCATAGGTCCTAATTTGTAATTTCATTCTTACATTTTTAGAATTTTCCAAACTAATTTTATTACGTTTTTGACCACTTACATTTTTGAAAAAAGATTAAAAAACGTGACTTTTTTCCAAAGTTTCCAAAACCGCACCTTATGTCAACAGCATGAGAATATATCGTTGGTTTGGACTGGGATCAAATTGTGTCGGGAAACGAGTGCAATTGTTCTTGCCTTTGTCATGGATCATTATTGATTGACACGTGAGAGTGATAGCGGTGGATGGTTAGGTTAATTTATCAAATGCACAGATTTCTCCTTCTACTCTTGGGTTTTAATTTTTTATTAAAATTTTTGTATTCTTTTTTTTTTTTTTTTTTTGATATGCTATTTGTGTATTAGATTGAACTACTATTTTGTTTATTTGAAAATGATGGTTTAACTTTCTTCAATAGAGATATAAGTTTGGGTGTATATTCACAGATTTGATTGTGTTTTGAATATGTATATACTTTTATTTGTTAGGACATATTTGAAATAAAAATATGTGGTGTGAATATATATGACATTTATTTTATTTTTTTTAAATATATAAACTAATAAGAATGTTCACAGACTGAAAATAGTGTGCGAAAATAGAAGTCTCCAACTCATGACTCTCATTTTTGTTTTGCCCTTTGATTTGTTGACATGATATATACCTGAGTTATGTTAGGGATACAAGAAATTTTACAAAATATTTGACGAAATGTCTCACATGAGTGTGGATCTCTCATGATTCCACATGAGTGAGGGATCCAAACCTATGTAAGTCACTTGATCAAATATTTCGTAAAATTTTTAAAACCTTTGTCATTTAAAAAAAAAAAAAATTTCTAGGCTTGCTGAAGAAATAACGATCTCTTTTATTTTATATGTTTGTGAGAGGGTAATTTATATATAAATTGGACTGAGCTAGGTAATAGGCCGTTCTGTGGACCACGGTGAGAAGGGCTGAGTAAAAAGGCCCTGTAATTAGTCCGGTCTGAAGGAGCTTGGTGGTTAGCTCGGTCGCCACGGTTGGCGCAATAACAGTTAGCTCGGTCATACTATGTTGAGCCGAAGTATGTTGAGCTTTCCTCAAAACCTTGCTATTGGTTAGCTTGGTCCAAGCTCATTGTGGATAGCACGGTTTCAAACAACCCAGTTGGAATGTCAGCCGAGGTACACGTGCAGTGAAAGGAAGAACTGAGCTAGTTGGAGCTCGGTCTAGTCTGCGGCTTTAGCGTGGACATGTTATCTCGGTCGTATTGACATCCAACCGTGGTAAAGCCATCTCACTTGGTTTAAGCAGTGAGGGGGGTGTTGAGGGATAAGCATTATCTTTCAAGAATGTGGTTCCTAGGAGGACTCTACATGGAGGAGTAAGAGTCCTACTAGGATTGTGCCATACGGAACCTATAAAAGCTCATAACATCACCTATAGAGAGGTAACACAACTTTGATTCCCGAATACATAGCTTTTGTCTATTTTGCCGACTTAGGCATCGGAGGGGTATCTGGCACACACCCGCCGGCTAGCTCACGTTTGTGTTTTCAGGGAGTAAAGCGACTACGTTTGAAGGAGCGCGGACTTGATCAACAGGATTATACGAGAAGATTATTTCTTGCTCATACAATTGGCGCCGTCTGTGGGAAGTCACAGAAAGAACAAAACCTCTTGGTCAAGTTTCCCTCGCTAGTTGAATGGCGCACAACGAAGATTTGCCGCAGTCTGCCATCGACGGACAAACCCCAGAGGGGGGTGGGAGGTGCGAAGGATTGCCTTCTATCCCTTCCATGGCGGACTTAGAGCCCCAGCGACAGAATCCCCAGAGGGATACAAGGGGGAGGCGGAACAACAGCCCCCGTCGCTCTCGCTCACAAAGCCCTGAAAGGCAAAGGCAAAGAATTGACCCTCAGGCTTTGGAGGATCGCGTAAAAGAGCAAGATGAACTAATAAGGAAGATGGCGGCGGACATGGAGGCCATGAAGCGCCAGATCAAGGGAAAAGATGTGGCAACAGGAGAGGGGCGCAAAAGCAATACGCCTCCTCGCCACTCAGAAGATCGTGGTAGACATATCGCGCCATCACAAGCAGAGAGTAGGAGCCTCAGGACAGGCGACACTCAATCAAGGACTTCCAGAACTCATTACTCCAGGTCTGAGAGAACGAGATCATTGAGGTCTTACACCGAGAGAAGTACCTATTGGCTCTCACATACGCACCAGACATCATCCAGGCAAACGGAGTTGCCTAGATCGTCCGACTTACGGACTATGCTTGAGGAAAGGGCACGACGGAAGGAAGATGCCAGGGTACGCGACCCGCACAGAGTTTCAGCTCTTCAGCGGTTGGCTCCTCGGACGCATGGAAGCGTCGAGGTTGGAATGCCAATACCACACCTTGCCTACGAACCAACAAATAAAGCATTGGCAAGAATACATAGTTCGCCGTTCGTTCCGGTGATAGAGAACGCACCATTACCCTCAGGCTTCATCCAGCCTAAATTTACCACGTACGAAGGGAAGACAGACCCTTACATGCACTTAAGCCACTTTCGCTAGGTCATGGCAGTATACCGGCGGAACGAAGCTTTGATGTGCATCCTATTCCCATCCAGCCTTGGCGACCTAGGTTTAACTTGGTTCGAAAGGCTACCAGAAGGCAGCATAGCCTTCTGGGCGCAATTAACGAAGGCGTTCGTAACAAGATTCAGAACGAACACCAAGACGCCAGTGGAGATTGATCAGCTACTCTCCATTGACATGGGCGACAAGGAAACATTAAGATCCTACAACAGTCGCTATTGGGAGACATTCAACCAGATAGGGGACTACCCCACCAATCTCGCCATCGCACAATACAAAAGAGGACTTCCAGTCAGAAACAGATTGAGGGATTCGATTACTATGACTCCACCCCTCACGATGGAAACCTTGATGGAGAGAGTGCACCAGTACATTCGGGTAGAGGAGGACGGCGCCCGAGCGAAGGCAAAATCTGGTGCAACAGCAACGTCAGATAAGAAGACTACGGCAAAGGTAAACACGGTAGAACGTCCAAGCAAGAATGGACGAGGCAGGCGAGACAATGAAGAGGATCGAGATAAAAGATGGTTGAGAATCTACACTGCCATTACCACGGTATTCAAGAAACCAATCTACCGAGTTCTCAGCGAGATACGTGATGAACCTTTCATCAGATGGCCAGCTAAGCTGGGAAAAGCGCAAAAGGACTACGACGAAAGATCCCGGTGCACCTTCCATAAGGAAAAGGGGCACCGCACTGAAAATTGCACGCCGTTGAGATAGCATCTGGAAGAGTTAGTGGCAGCTGGTCACCTGGACCGGTACATAGAAGGAGGGACGCAGCCAGCCCCCCAAAACCACGACCACCCAGACGGAACACCGAAAGACGCCCCACCTCAAGGCGTGATAAACATAATACATGGGATATTCGAGCCTGAGCAAGTATGTGAGCTCAGGGGCATGATAAAGAAGGCTGAGCACTAAAGGGAGGTATTGAGTGCGCAGCCCACTATTAAAAAAGGGAAAACAGAGGCCACGAACGTCATGTCTTTCTTAGACAAAGACTTGGCAAGGATATATTGCCCTCACAATGATGCACTGGTCATCGCACTCCGCGTCATGGATTACGATATCAAACGGATTTTGATCGACCAAGGAAGCTCATGCGAGATAATGTATTACGAAACCTTCAAATAACTAAAATTGAAGGATAAAGACTTAGCACTTGCCGTATCTCTCCTGATCGGGTTCAACTCTATGCCAGAGTGGCCAGTCGGCAAGATAATCCTCCCAGTCAGAGCAGGAAGCATGACTAAACAAGTGGAATTCTGGGTATTGAAAGTACCCTCCACTTACAACATAATCTTGGGAAGGACATGGATGCATGCCATGAAAGCGGTAGCGTCAACCTATCATCAAGTAATGCGGTTCCCCAACGAAGCCGGAGTAATTGAAGAGGTCTATGGAGACCAAATTATATCCAAGCAATGCTTCGTCACGGTAAATGG